AACACTGATAAAAATAGAGAAAATTTCTCACTCCTCTTTAATCGCACATAGCACAGTGCTCCACATAGGGTTAGATACTGAGTGAGTACAGAAGGAAAGAAGGGAGGGAGGGAGGGAGGAAGGAGAGTCACATAGAACAATCATATAGTGTTAAATTCTGATAGTTAAATGAATAAGAGAAAATGTCTGTTGCACACCTAACTCACCCTTTGGGACTGACTTCTCGTAACAGTTTCTTGATGGAGGAGAAAGTAGGTCTTCTCTCCGGAGATTCATCCCAGCAGGCTCTCACCATGACCACGATCTTTTCATGGCCCTTCTCCTCAGACAGGGAAGGCCAGAACAGATTTGAATCCCAGAGAAATCTGAATATTTTAACAGAAATATTTGGAATCCTTCTAGAAAATAAAGAATTCTAATGTAAAACTTTTAAGTATCCTCCGGATTAATCTGTTTTTAAATCAAGGCTTTGAAAGTAGAACTTTTCTTAAGGTAAGTCATACTCTATATGGACAATGTGTGAGCATTTGGTGTTGGAAACCCCAAAAGTGTGCCCTATGCCAGTCTTCATTCCATACAATATGTTCCAAGAAAGCTATTTGAACAAATAATATATATTAGCCTCGTGTTCTGCCTTCCTGTCCAATTTTATAAACCTACTTTTTCTCACTTCTTTATTGGCTTCTACAGTTTATTAAACATTGTGACTAGCCAGATGTTGTAAAGGAAATAATATGTTGAGAATGTATACATGTTTGGGGTATAAAAATAAGAAAAATACTGTGGGTCCAACAACATGGATGAATCTTAAAATGCATATTACTAAGTTAGAGAGACCAGTCTGAAAAGACTGTATACTGCATAATTCTGTTTATATGACATTCTAGAAAAGGCAAAATCATAGAGATAGAAAACAGATCGGAAGTTGCCAAGAGTTTGGAGAGGAGAGAGGGCTGAACGGTGGAGATCAGGGGATAGGGAAACTACTCTGTATGCTACTATAGAGGTGGATATAGGACACTATAAATTTGCCAAAACTCATAGAACTTTATAGCACAAAGAGTTAACCATAAGGAATGAAAACTAAAAATATATCAACTAGGGAATTAGACACCCCTGAGAAAGAATGTAGACAGTGACAAGAGAACCTAACTGTGTTACAAATGCATGAATGCTACCTCATGGAAGGGGATAGGGTGAGGAGACTGCCCCCACCTAACTTCTGAAATAACCAAAGCCTATGAGACTAAAAACAAAAGGAACAACTCATGATCCTTGTACTCAAGCTGGTCAAATTGCTTCTTATGGGAGTGCAGGTGAACAAGTCTGAAATCACTGGATACATACCCTGGGAATGAACAAATAAGTACATGGATGGCAGGCGTTGGAGATGGAGATTACAGATAAGCAAGGAGGGAGACTAGAATGATCCACAGTGGTGATAAGTTAGGTTTGGAGAAGTCTAGATGAACTTATGTTTACTTTAATATAGATGCAGATACGTGTGTGTGTGTGTGTGTGTGTGTGTGTGTGTGCGCGCACACGCGCACACACGTGCGTTTATTGATATATGTATGTATGTATACATATGGGTTATTATGTATATATATTATAAATATATGTATGTATACATATGGCACACATACATTTCCTCGCTCTGTCTGAGAGGGCCCAGAAGCAGCAACATCCCAGTAGCCATGAGCACACTAGAGCCCAGGTCTTGTTTTCTAATACCATTCTCCAACAAAAGAAGCCAGGACTCATTGGGGGAATTGGATCCTTCTAGTGTTGGGGCAGGGGACAGGCAAGATGAGCCTGGAGGTTCTTGTCATACTAGAAAATAAGGAAGTACTCAAAAACAAGACAAAACAAAACTCCACGGTGATGGCTCTATGTCAAAGAAATACAGAAGTCACCTGAAATTGAATGGCCAAGAATAGAACCATTTGAGCAACAAAATAAAGTAGTATTAGATTATAATCCAAAGTATAAAATGAGTATTCATGAGTCCATGTTCATAAATAAATAATTGAAGAAATAAGCAAATGAGGTCAGACACTGTGGCTCATGCTTGTGATCCCAGCACTTTGGGAGGTCGAAGTGGGAGGATTGCTTGAGCCCAGAAGTTTGAGACCAGTCTGGGCGACATAGTGAGATCTTGTCTATGACTCCCCAAAATTTTTTAAATTAGCAGGCATGGTGGTTGCACACGCCTGTAGTCCTAGCAACTCAGGATGTTGAGGCAGAAGGATCATCTGAGCCCATAAGTTGAGACTGTGGCGAGCCATGATTGTGTCACTGCACTCCAACCTGAGTGACAGAGTAAGACCCCGACTCAAAAAAAGAAAAATCAGTAAATGGGTGAGTAGACAGGTCTCCCACAGGGAAGAATTTCAGCTAATCCCCATAGGTATTCCCTCCTCAAGGAGTGGAGCCTAACTCCCTACCCTTTAGGTGTTGGCTTCAGGGTGACTTCCCTCCATGGAGCACAGCATGGAAGGGGAAAATTCACGAGTCTCTTTACAGTGGAGAAACTGACAAGCACTAACTCAGCCAGGTGATCAAGGTCAACATCAACAACGATAGTCAGGCTGAGAACACGTCCCCTTATTATAATATGATGAAAATGACAATTTCTGTCTGCAGTCTTCCTCCTAAACACCCATAACCCCAGTGTAACCATTAGAAAGGAAAAATAAGCCGGGCTCGGTGACTCAGCCTGTAATCCCGCACTTTGGGAGGCTGAGGTGAGTGGATTGCCTGAGCCCGCTGGTTCGAGACCCGCCTGGGCAACTTGGCGAGACTTCATCTCCACAATAAATCAAAAAAGTAGCCGGGCGTGGTAGTGCGCACCTGTAGTTCCGCTACTTGGAAGGCTGAGGCAGAAGGATCGCTGGAGCCCAGCAGGTCGAAGCTGTGGTGGCCGGGAGCAGCCATTGCACTCCAGTCTTGGCGACTGAGTGAGACTCCAACTCAAAAAAAAAGAAAGGAAAAATATAGCAGATAAATTCCAAATAAGGGACCTTCAACAAAATATCTGACCAGCACTGCTCAAAAGTGTCAGGGTCAACAAAAATAAAGTCTGAGAATTTTTCCAACAGAAGCTTAAGGAGATGTGATAACTAAATGTAATATGATACCCTGGATGGGGTCCTGGGACAGAAAAAAAATGTTAGGCAAAAACTAAGGAAATCTGAAGAAGATATGACCATTAAGAAATATAATTTACCAAATATAGATTGCAAAACTGTATGTAAAATACAATCTTGTTTCAGTGTACATTTTTAGTGCCTAGAAGTATTCTGAAAGAATGTGCATTATAAAGTACTCTGGGAAATTGTGTTTCATTCCCAAATGAAGTACAATTTGAGACACAGGACAGCAGTGGTTCCAAAAGCAGAGACCGAAGAATTACTATGGTGATTCTTTCTTTTTTTCTTTTTTTGAGTCGGAGTCTCACTCCATCGCCCAGGCTGGAGTGGCACACTCACGGCCACCCCAGTGTTGACCTGCTAGGCTCCAGCGATCCTTCCACCTCAGCCTTCCAAGTAGCCAGAACTACAGACACACACTACCATGCCCAGCTACTTTTTTCATTTATTGTAGTGACAAGGGCTCATCAAGTTGCCCGGACTGGTCTCGAACCCCCGGGGCTCAAGCAATCCACTCTCTTTGGCCTCCCAAAGTGCTGGGATTACAGGCTGAGACACCAAGCTTGGCCTACTATGGTGATTTTTGTCATCCTCTGTTCAGCTCTAAGAAACGCCATGACAGCATCAGTAAAATGATGCAAAACTTTGAGAACAAATTTAAACCATGGCCTGCACACACAGAGAACATGTGTTCATTACTTACTTAGTGTTCAGCCAGTTGTTTCCATCCCACAATCTTTAACAGTCTACTAGTCACAACAGTGCAACTGTTTTTTGCTTTGGCACTGGGCATCAGAATCCCCCGGGGGCTGCAGAAACAGATTTCTGGGCCCACCTCCCATGGTTCCCAATGGAGCAGATCTGGAGTGGGACTGAAAATGTGCAGTTCTGATGAGTTCCCAGGTGATGCTGTTGCTGCTGGTTCAAGGACCAAGGCCATTGCTTCTCAAACTGTGGTTTACTGGCATCACCTGAAAACTTGACAGAAATGCACATTCTCAGGCCTCACTCCAGACCTACTGAACCAGAATCCCGAGAGCAGTATCTGGCAATTCTGTATTTTAACCGTCCCCAGGTGATTCCCAGTCCCACTAAAGTTTGAATACCATTGGTCTGGCATACGCAGATAATCAGTGTTTATTCAGCTTGTGGTGCCAGGTTTGTAAGGAAGCATGAGACAACCAAGGAAGAAGTGTGCTTGTCCATGAATGAGAGGCACACTGTATTTTTCCTGGTTGCAGTCCTGTGTATACATAGTCCCCTGTCGCTGGCTCTCATTTAATTTTGTGAGGACTACAATGAGGGGGAAATATTCTGATTGTCCACAGTCTTCCCCACCCCCCACCCCCACGGACCCCAACTGGCACAACCAGAAGGGAGTGGTGGTTGGTGAGTTCCTGTCTGGGCTCAGTCTAGAAATATTTGTGTATTTGCTTGGTTCCAAAGTTAGATGCACCTGGATTTTGAGTTACCCTTTTTAGATGAGTCTCATGTCTGCTTTATTTAGCCATAAATTAGAAACAGGAATCTGGTTTAAAAGCAACTGCATACCCCTACAGAGGCTCTTGACTTTAAAAGCTTCCAGGGAATAGAGGATGATCTAAAACTAAGACTTGTGACAAGCCACTGATGGGCTACAAATGGTAAGCAAGGCAAGAAAAAAGAAATTCAATGGAAAGGTGGCTGGGTTTACTCATGCATATGCACGCACACACACCAGTATCCTTTTTCCAAGACAGTGGCTCTCAGGCTGAGCTGCTGCGTATTGTAATCACCTGGAGAGCTTTTAAAACCCTGATGACCAGACAGCACCCCAAACCAATGGCACAGAATCTCTGCAACTGAGATCCAGGCATCAGCATTTGTTAACAGACAACCAACAAAAAAACAAGCCTGAATATATCCTTTGTAAGTGGGCTGTTGAACAGCATTATCATGAATTTTAAATATATTTAAAATATATTCATCTCTTCAATTTCACAACTAGAAATCTATCCCGAAGAAATATTCACCCTTGTGTGCAAAGATAAAGGACTGCTCATTGCAGCAATTTGTAACAGCAAAAAGTGGGATACAATTGAAATGTGTTATCAGTGAACAATGTATGACATATTCTTACAATGAAAAATTGTGTAGTCCTTAAGAAAAAATGGGGAAAACCTGAATATAGGAATATGAGATCAGAGAAACCCAGGCAAAGGAAACAGCATGTGCAAAGGGTCTGGGGTGCGAGTTTGGCGTGTTGGAGGCATATGAAGATGGCCAGCGTGATTGAAAGGAGTGAGCCAAGAGAGAAGGCATCAGGAAGTTATAGCAACCTGAATGGTGTCTTCCAAAGGGATATGCCCATGTCCTAATCCCCGGATTCTGCTAACCTTATTTGGGAAAAGGGATGTAAAGGCAAGTGCAATTATAATTAAGTTAAAGATCTTGGGTTGAGACCATTTAGGATTATCTCGGTGGGCCCTAAATCCAGTGACAAGTATCCTTCTAAGAGACACACAGGAGATAAATACACAAAGGAGACAATGAGAAGACAGAGGCAGAGATTGGAGCCATGTGGCCATGAGTCCAGAAATGCTGAGGCAGCTGCCAGAAGCTGGAAGAATCAAAGAATGGAATCTTCCTGAGAGCTTCTGGAAGGAGCAGAACCTTACCAACACCTTGATTTTGGACCTCTGACCTCCAGAACTACAAGGGAATAAATTGTGGTTTCAAGCTACCAAGTTTATGGTCAGTGTTATAGCGACCCTAGGAAAGCAACGCAGAAGGTCACAGAGGTTTAAAGGCCTTTGGAGGTCTTGTAAGCCATGGGAAGGATTCTTTTCCCCTCCCCAGATGGGAAGCCAGAGGAGGATTTTGAGCAGAGAAGTGACATAATCCAACTCATTTTCTAACAGGATCCCTCTGGCTGCTGCAATAGGCTATATAATTTGATTTTTTTTTGTAACCAAAATTCAATACACTTTCTAATTTAGATATATAGTATGGATTTTAAAATCTTAAAAAGAATGGGTTAAATTGTAAATTAATAAAACAATTAACAAAAACAAACATTTCAAAGCTAGCATGCCCTTCCACGCAGACTTTCCCCACTTTACCATCTGGTACCTCACTGAGGTCATCAAAGGGCCCGTGGTCCCAGTGGTGAATCAGCCCCTCATCAGAATGGTGAAGCTGTAAATGTCGCCCTTCGAAGTGCCTGCCCGAGCACCTCCGGAAGCTGCAACAGCTCTGAGGCCATCCAGTGGAGCTCTGCAAAGCAATGAAATGTCCAGAGGGAGTGAGAGAGCTTCCAGGCACACCTGGAGAACCCACCCCTTCATCCTCAGGGGGCACAGGAGAAAGGAAGGCGTCCAGCCCTGAGCCATCAGCCCTGATGGAGTCTGACTTGAAGAGCAAATAGGGGTCTTTGTCTGTGAACATGGAGAAAATCGGCAGGAAGGACAAGCACTAACGTATCAATGGTGGTTTACTCAGGAATAGAATGACAGGTAGTTTGCATTTTTTGTTTTCTGTATTGCCTATATTTAAAAAAATAATTCATTGATGTGTGACTCACATAACACAAAGTTAACCATTTGAAAGTGAACGATTCAGGGCATTTAGCACACTCCTAACCTTGTGCAACCACCACCTCTGCCTAGTTCCAAAAATATTTTCATGTCTCCAAAGTAAGCCCCTCTCCCAGAAGGCAGTTTCTCCAGTTCCTCCTACCCCCAATTCCTGACAACCACCAATCTGCATGACCCTATAGATTTACCTATGTTATGTATCTACTATTCTTTGCAGGGAGGTCTACAGGCTTATATCATTATAGTTTATAATCATTAGAAGATGGCAAGCTAGGAGGGGTTACTGGCAGGTTTTCAAACTCTCCCTCTTATCTTTCTACATGACACCATCCTGTCACACAGTACAGAGACCATCCCCAGAAAAGCTGCTGGCGACCTGCTGCTCTAGCAGAGAGGGAATCAGGGCTGATAACACTGAGCTCAGCAGGACCTGGGCTATGTGAGGAAGTGGAATCAGGGGCATTCCATTAACTTGGACAAATAGGAAGAGTCGCCAAGCCCCAATTTGCTCATATGTAAGGGAGGGTTGAACTTGAGACAGTGAGTTTATCTTAAGAGGCACATAAGAATCACTTGGGAGCATTTAAAAAACAATACAGATGTCCAGACTCCATCTTCAGATATTCAGTTGATATGTGGGGGGTGGGGGCGTACCAACCACATGGAAGACAGTGAACTCTGGAACTCGGTTATCTTTAAAGTGCCTGGCAGATCTTGCATTCTACGCTGAGAATGTGGGATGACTATGGGAAGAAACACAGAGGACTAAAGGGTGGCGCCATGGTTGTTTCCGATGGCCCAGCTGAGCTGGATGAGAATCAGTCTCCTGACGCAGACATCACTTCATGGCCTCAGGTCGCCCAGAAGAGCTATTTTTTTCTCGTTCTACTTGAGTGAAGACAACAGCCAACCTACTGTCAGCTCCAGAGGAAGGCCCACCTGTGAGTACCTGTGCACGTGAGCATCAGGAAGCAAAGATGGGGTAAGGAACCCCTGACCATTCTGCCTATAGCTCGTGGGTCAAGGTCTGCCAATAGTTACCCGAGTGGTCAGCCGTTTTCTGATCGTATATTCTGTATGTCCGGCCACACTTGAGTTCCCACAGCCCAAATCCCGACAGCTTCACCTGCAACCACCCATCCACCAGGCAGTTGGAAGGTTTCAGGTTGCCGTGGGACCCCAGGGGGCATGCCCTGCAAGTGTGAAAATGAGCCATGAGGCAGACCAGGGACCAGTGACACTGCTGGAAGGAACTGAGGCAGAAAGACAGATGGGCAGAAACAGAGACCCAGGGCAATGACGTCTGTGTTCATTTGTTCAAGAGCCACCAGCACTGCCCCTTGTCCACGGAGTCAACCTGGGTAGGGACACCCCAAACAGAGAAAACTATTTGTGGCTCCTCAGTGAAAAGCCAAGAAGATAAGTCCAGTTTAAAACACATCCTAGAGGTCAGGCTCCTGAGTTCAAATCTCAGCTCTACCACTTAGCAGAGGGCAAGTTACGTTATCCCTGTAAGCTTCATTCTTCTTATCAAAATAGAAGTGACAACAATACCTACCTCATAGCATGGTTATAGCAATTAGACATAATAATGACATTGAAATACTAGACAAAATAAATAACCAATATAAATTATGAAAATTATATAAATATGACAAAAGCATACATATGATAAAGATATCAATATATAGAAGCAACACTGTGAAAGATTATTTTATTACCTATAATATTATACATTATGTACTATTACATGAGCTTAAGTATCCTGTTTGAGCATTTCTCAGGATAAAGCAATAAAATGAGGAACATTGAAAATTCTTAAGTTATCCACTGTTTTTAGGGGGTCTATACTATTATTATTATTTATGAAGAGAGCAGAAAGAACACTAGAGGTAGGAGACATGTGTTCAAGTCTGGGCTTTTCTATTCAGTCTCTTCAAGCAAGTCACTGGCCTCACTGGGCCTCGATTTTCCCACCTGTGAGATGGGACTGCCTAGATGCCTTCTACTTGAAGGATGGCCCGGGGACCAGCAGCATTGGCTTTACTGGGGAGCTTGGCAGAAATGCAGAATGTCTGGCCCCACTCTAGACCTACTGAATCAGCCTGTGTATTTTAACAAGAGTCCAGGTGATTCACGTGCACATACAGTCTGACAAGACCTGACCTGGCCAATGGTCCCCCACTTTGGCTACACATTAGGATCCACCGGGGAGCTTAAACACACACACACACACACACACACACACACACACACACACACACACACACACACACACACACACACTGCTTGGGCCCCAAACACAAGAGTCTGTATTAGCTACAGATTACATATGGCACCAGCCAAGCACAAGTCTAAGGATATGAAAGCAGGAGAATGATCAGAATGGGGAAGAGACTGTCTCATCTGGAAACACTTTCAGAGGGGGATTATAAGGCAATGATAATTCTCACTTAGCAAGGATGCTGGGATATGGGGGCCTCTCCATGGGCAGGGAGAGGCTTGCCGAAATGTCTGGAATTCAGGAAGGAAAAAAGGACAGGTAGGAGAAGAGATTATTTTTGGAATATGAGAACTGTCCTGTATGAAACAGAAATGGAGAAACAGATATTTGTATTTCTGTGAAATTTCTAAGGGCAACCCAGGAAGCCATAAAATGAGGGTTATGGGGAAAGGGCCAACTGCTTTTCAGAAGCAAATCATCTTCGAGCAAGGAGATGGGGGGACCAACTGTTTCTTGTCTTATTTTCTTTACCTTCCTTGATGGCTTCACTGAAAAGGGATTTAAATAATATTTATTCAACATTTCCGATTTCTTGGACTTTTAAGTACTGACGTAAAAACTCTATGTAGCTTTAACTGAATCTCTGAATCATTCATTTTCAAAATACTTTGTGAGCTGGTAAAAAAAAAACTTAGTATTTCACAGGTACAAGGCTATTTTTGGAGCCACTTTGTCTATGAAATGAATCACCTGAGGAGCTTAAAAATATTCATACACACAATGCTTGGGCCCAAATCAAGAATCTGTATTAGATACAGATTTTATATGGCACCAGCCCAACCACTCCTAAGGCCTGGGTAGCCTGGTCTCCTCCCACCTGCCTCACCCAAGAAGTTTCAAAGCAAGAGTGAAAAATAACAGTGGCCCTTTCAAGGGTCTTCCTGGATTTTTAAAGTGTATAGTACTAACCTTATGGCAGTTAACGCCATGGAAGGGACCAATCTCAGTCCCTTACTTAAATTAACTCATGTAATCCTCCTCGTGACCCTACAGAGGTAGATGCTATTGTCATCAATTCCATTTTACAGGGGGGAAAAAAGAGGAACAAAGAAATTAACCTGCCTCAGGCCACATAGTGAGCCAGTGATAGAGCTGACCTGGGAATTCTGCAGTTTGAGTCCAATCCAGGCTCTTGACCAATTGCCCAGCTTTCTTTACCAATGAAAGAAGCCCATGAAAGGCAGAGAGTGAGAAGCAATTGAGAACTTCATTCTAGCCACAAGGTTCCAAGGGAATCCACACTGTAATATGGATTTGTGGTGAACAAATAAATAACAAATACATAAATAACCTTTTATTTAAGCTAAGATCCAAGACTGAAATAACAAATAAATAACCTTTCCTGGAGCCCTTACTTTGTACCTGTCCAGGGTACTTTCTACATATCATCACGTTTAGTCTTTTCTGAGACAGGTTGATATTCTCTCTTTCACAGTGAGGAAACTCAGGGTTTCAAATCACTCCCAAGAAGTTGGGATCAGAGCTGGGACATGAGCCCAGGTTGGATCAGCTTTGAAGCCCAGCCTCTTCTAAACCACTAGCTCTTACTGTTTCCTGTGCCCTGGGTGAGGGAAAGGAGGTGGGGGAGAAGGGAGAAGCATAGGACAAAGCATACCCACTCCCCTGGCATGATTATGCAACCACAGTAAGTTCCAGTGAGTCACCCACCTAGCTGAGAATGGCCAGTGAAGTCACACACAGGAGATGCTATAAGAAGGCCCTAACCCGTGATGTTGCAACAAGGAGGCACGTGAGGAGGACATCCTGAAAGGACAGCTGCACTTAAGGATAGGACTGTGGGCTTCTTAGGCACTAGCTCAGGATTGCACCTCTCCCAACAGCAGTGCCGACAGGCTGTGTCACTCTCGCCCCTGAGTCAGAACCCTGAGGCCAAGATTGTGTGAGAAATATGGGCTGATACAAAAAACTGTAAGGAAATATCCAGGACAGTGGATACACCACTACCGCCCCCCACCCCCATTCCTTGATCGGTGTGGTATGTTTGTTTTTGAGATGGTAAAGTTGCATCACATTTCAGAATTGCAGCCCACTCCTCTGGATCTGGAGAGTTTTCTACAGCGAGGCTCCAATAGGCTGAGATCCAAGCTTGAAATATAGTAAGACCTGTCTCCAATCCGCAGTTCTCTCTGGTCTCACAGAGACCTCTCCAATCAGCAGGACTGCCCCCAACACACACAAGGTTTTTCTGCTTTCTTCTTGCCCTTGCTAGTGCCAAACCCATCCCAGGTATGAAATATTTTACATTCTAGGATATTAGAAGCACTTATTCCATTATGGTGAAAATGACACACTTAGGGATGCTCGGAATCTAGGTGTGGAGTCCTGACCAAGAGATGACGTGCATGTCCTTGTTTTTTCTTTTTCTTTTTTTTTAGAGGCAGGGTCTTGCTCTGTTACCCAAGTTGGAGTACAGTGGTGTAATCACAGCTCACTGGAGTTTCGAATTCCTGCACTCAAGCAATTCTCCTGCCTCAGCCTCTGGAGCAGCTGGGACAAAAGGCACAAACTACCACACCTAGCTAATTTTTATTTTTATCCTTTTAGAGATGAGATTTCACTATGTTGCTTAGACTGGTCTTGAACTCCTGGCCTCAAGCAATTCTCCCACTTCGGTTTCCTGCAGTGCTGGGATTGCAGGCATGAGCCACCATGCTCAGCCTTTGTTTTCATTTTCTATCTTAATGGAAATGTATGATTTTTATGTACACTGATGGAAAACAAAGAGAGCTATGAGAGAATTCATCATTAAAGGATATTATAATAATTTCATTCACTTTTGGCACTTCTAGCACCTGTTTGCTAACTACATTTCTTGCCCTACTAGAAATTCCTGAGTGGCTGACAGCGATCCTGGGTCCCACATCTGTGCTGTCTGGTACTTAGCAGGGAAGAAGGAACACAGCCTTTGAAGAGACTCTGGTCACGCTAATCTGCCTTTTACCATTTGCGCAGGTGACTTCACCTTGCTAAGCCTCACTTTGTTCCTCTTGAAAATGGCATAAATATTAATAGCACCAATCTGAGCAAAAAAATATTAATAATGGAGTTTATTGTTAATTGTTAAGATTGCTGTCCAAAAGAAACATAATCAAGCCACATTTGTAGAGTTTTTAAGTTTCAGTAGCCATGTTTAAAAATCTAAACAAGTAAAATTCATTTTAATAATATGTTTTGTTTAAGCTAATACATCGAAAAAATTTTAATATTCAACATGTAATCAATATAAAAATATTAGTGATATTTTATATTCTTTTTTAACCAAGTTTACAAAATCCAGTGTAAACTGTATACTTGAGTGGGACTAGCTGTAATTCCAGTGCTCATTAACCATAGCCACATGTGCTGGTGACTATCATATTTGGCTAGTATTTACCCCATAGGCTTGTTGGGGGAATTAACAGTGGCAGCCCAGGGTTGTCCATAGAGTCCCAATTGCAGAGAGGTTTTTGTTCATCTCTCTTGCTTGATGACATTATGCTGGCTTCCCAGTAAAGCTTAGGAAATCAGAGGCTCACAAGCCTCAGTTTCCTAGAAACAAAAAGCAATAAAATTCCTGGGGAAGGAAAGCCCTTCAGTGTCAATCGGGCCAAGCTTATTTATTCTATCTACATGAAAGTTGAGGTCCAGAGAGAAATGGCCTGGCAAAGTCACTCAATGAACACTCCAGCAGGGCAGAGCTTATGTTTCACCCCTGCAGCCCTCACAACACCCAGACAGGGTCTTCTCACAGGAGTCTGTTGGTTGGCAGATGGGAATGCTGACTGATGGCTAGACTGTTGACTAGCAGTTGACACCTAGCCCTTAGCCTGCTGCCTGTATGTCAGACTGAGAGGCTTCCTCACCAGGACCCACTCCTAGGTCATTGGCTTGGTCTCTTTTGGTGGTGCAAGTATTCGTAGCAAGCTTATTTAGAACAACTCGATTTAGCCCAGGTGGAGAACAGCTTTAAGAGGCCAGTCCACACTGACATGACCCATTCCACAGCTAACCTCCCCAGCCCCACTCCTGCCCTCTCCATTTCTCATCACCAGCTGCATGTCCAGGCAGTGGCCTTTTGAGACAATGAGTCATCTGGGGCTTTGGAATCTAGCTACCACCTCTCAGCACTCCCTCCACCTTCATGGGGACAGGCAGGAATTGGCCTCTTTCTACCTCCCCTGAACGGCCCCTCCCAGCCCCTATGGGCTTCTGAACATGAGGCAAAACAAAAGGGCACTGTCTAGTTCTATTTCTTCCAACTGGGAAGCAGTATGTTACAGTGGCTAAGGATACAGGACTCAAAAATGCCTAGCCCCACTTTTTAGTAGCTATGAGACTTTGGGCAAGTTATATGAACTTTCCGTGCCTCATTTTCTTATCCGTGAAACAGAAGTAACAATAGATGTACTTTTTTGAGAATTAAACAAATTAATATATACAAAGTACTGGAAAGTGCCTGGCCCAAAGTGGGTACTATATATGCTTTAGCTATTATTGTTCTCTACTTCTCTGCATCTCTTCTTTGCAATCCTCTGTGCCCAAGTAAAGATTCTGCCTGTTTATTTGCCTTCTCAGACCTGTATCCCTAGCCCAATTCTTAAGTCAGCTGCTTTGTGGTTATTGTGGCACGGAACCCCATGTTCTAGGAAAAGGAATCAGTGACTAGAGAGCAGGAAGGAGTATTAGAAATCCTCTTCCACAGCTTGACTTATGTCCTGGTAATTAGATTCCCTTTGAGATAAAAAGTTCTTCCCTAAAATGTAAATACTCTGCTCTTCCTCAGTCAGATAAGCATAGCTTTCATCCCGACTTCAGTGTAAATTACTTTCGTCTCTCCATATTTACTTGCAATCAGGGTACAAGAAAAGAATTTAAAATCTGATGGAAATGGCAGGTTTTAGAACTGGAATCACTTTGTTTGAAGAGAAGCTCTGAAGACAGCCAGAATTTTCAGGAAAGATCACAGCTCAACTTAATCCAAGACATAGAACAACTCAAAAACACTATGGTATTTATTCTTTTAAAAAGTTTATGTTATACTCACATTGACTATATCATATGCAAATGAAAGTTTGAACAGCCAATCCACTTCTTGATCTGAGTTTCTTAAAACTTCCTGAAAAACAGTTATTCAAACTACATTAGGAACAGAAAACCAAACACTGAACGTTCTCACTTATAAATAGGAGCTAGAGCTGGGCTCGGTGACTCAGCCTGTAATCCCGCGCCTTTGGGAGGCTGAGGTGAGTGGATTGCCTGAGCCCGCGGGTTTGAGACCCGCCTGGGCAGCGAGACCACATCTCTACAATAAATCAAAGACTCAGCCAGGCGTGGTAGCGCATGCCTGTAATTCTGGCTACTCGGAAGGCTGAGGCAGAAGGATCGCCGGAGCCCAGCAGGTCGAGGCTGCGGTGGCCGGGAGCGGCCACTGCACTCCAGTCTGGGCGACAGAGTGAGACTCCAACCTAAAATAATAATAAGAATAATAATAATTTTTAAAAATCATCAGTGGCTGGGTTCAGTGGCTCAGCTTGTAATCCCAGCACTTTGGGAGGCAGAGGCAAATGGATTGTTTGAGCCTGCAGGTTCAAGACCAGCCCGGGCAACTTGGCAAGACCTCATCTCAACAATAAATAAAAAATTAGCTGGGCATGATGGCGTGCACCTGTAGTTCCAGGTACTTGGAGGGCTGAGGTGGAAGGCTCACTGGAGCCCAGCAGGTCGACGTTGGGGTGACTGTGAGTGTGCCACTGCACTCCAGCCTGGGTGACAGAGTGAGACTCCAACTCAAAAAAAAAAAAAATCACCAGTGGCTCAGCCTGAAGCACAGTGAGCACACATTGAACAGATTTGACTCTTGGCTAGAACTAATGCAGTGTGAGGCAGGGCATGTTATTTTCCCAGAGATACCATAAACTGACTCAATATTAAGAAAGTACACAACTTTGAGTTTTATAAACACTTCTTCATTCCTGACATATAGCTGTTGGTCATAGGAACACAGTTCAAGAGTAGCCACGAATTCTTAGGAGAAACCAAGCTCAGACAGTTTCTATCCAGAACAAAGGAAACCAGACACTTGGCAACTCCAAATAATTTGATCCTCAGAAGACCCAAAAAGACAATTCATGTCTTGCCATTAGATCTGAGAGGAACAGCCCTTGGATAATTAGGAGAAAGTACTGATAAAGTTCTTTATTAGCTGACCTGAGGTAAACTAATAATCAAACCTGATTTATAATCAAACCTGTAGTAAGATTTACTATTTTGCTTACCGTAAGACTTCCTCTTTTGCAATACTGAGTGGCAATGCAGATGTTAGGTGGTTCTGTGCAAACGCCAAAGAAGGGGACAATGTTCCCATGCCTCAGTTCACACATCTGAAATAATAATGATCACAACAGCTCAGGTATAGAGAGTATCTTTGTGCCAGGGACTGTGCTATGTGATTTACCTACTTTCAGTTAATTCTTACAAAGACCTTGTGGGATAAGAACGATTACTGCTCCCATTTTACAGAGGAAGAAATTGATGCTCAAAAGGTAAAGTAAGTTGTTGAAAATGATACAACTTATTAGTGGCAGAACAAGCCAGATATGGTGGTTTGCACCTGTAATCCCAGCACTTTGGAAGGCTGAGGCACGATGACTGCCTGAGCCCAGGAGTTTAAGACCAACCTGGACAACATGGCGAGACCTCATCTCTACAATAAATAAAAAAATTAGCCAGGCATGGTGACTCACACCTGTAGTCCCAACTACTTGGAAGACTAAGGCAGAAGAATCACCTGAGCCCAGCGGATCGACACTGCAGGAGCTGTGCTCATGCCACGGCATTCCAAGCTGGATGACAGAGTGAGACTCTGACAAAAAAAGAAAAAAGAAAAGAAAAGAAAAGTGGCAGAGTTGGGAGTTAAACCCAGGAAGGCTACCTCCAGAGGAATGATCAAAGTCCAGCCTTAGCCATGGGGATTAATTAAACAACATCACAGTAAAGAAACCCAACCTGCTTCCCTGTTTATGGCTGTTGATGCCAGTGTCACAAAGGTCAGATCTATGGATCAAGAAGATAAACCCCATGCACCTGACTCCCTCCAAGGACCAGGTTCAGGGCAGGTAAGCAGCCATCGCAGACACAGAGGATAGAGAGCCAGAATTAAGACCAGGAAGAATTAAGGGGGAGACACAGAGGTAGAAGGGATCTGAGGCTTCAAGTGCCTGGGTCAGGCCAGAGGGTCTCAGGTCCAAGGCCCAGCCTGTCAGGGGAAGGCAGAGGTGGGCCAAGTTAAGGAAAGCAGCCTCCACCGTTGCTCCTTTAGGAACTGAAAACTGGAGAGGAGGGGCAGAGAGCAGCTCTGCTTTTCTCCTCCCATTCCCAGGGTGGGGGCCTCACCAGCCGGATTTCCTGCAGCACAGTCGGCTTCCTAACCCAGGCTTCTGCTTGGTCACCAACATAGCGGATGGCCACGTGGTTTCCCTGGAATCAGACACAAAGTGGAATGTTCTTAACCCAGGATAATCCAGGAAAAGCTCCACTCACACAGAACTGGGAAACAAGAAGACTGGGAAGAAATCCACCTATGAGAGGGATCATCAAACTCCTTACTGCCCAAATCAACTCCTTGGTGACACTGTGCTATGTCCAGGCACTGAGCAAGCTGCTAACCATGTAAGATCTCATTTAATTGGCATCAAAGCCCTGCAAGGTAGGTAAAATTAGCCCATTTCCAGATAGGATTGCTGAGGTTAGGTAAGTTGTTTATGATTGAACATTTAAAGGTAGTACAGCCAGATCTTGAAAGTCTGACTCCAAAACTATACTCTTTCTAATATACAATAATGTCCCATTATCATTCAGAAGAAATAGTGAGTTGAGGTCATAAGTGTAAGTGTGGGTCAGATGCTTGGTTCAAAGCCCAGTGCTACCATTTACTATCTGAATCATCTTGAACAAGAGATTTTCATTTTCCAAGCCTCCATTTCCTCATCTGTAAAATGGGATTAAAAATAATACCAGTCTCAAAGGGTGGTTCTGAGGATTAAACCAGTTAAAATACATAACACTGGTAACTCAATGCTTGGTACCTATTAAGTTCTCAGCAAATGGTATATCTTACTAACATTGCCTATGGGTTCTGCATTTAGAGAGTCACTTAATCAAGCACCACACAAACATCCAATAATGTGGTAAGAGTTGGGTAGAAGAAGAGATAGAATCCAGACAGAGTCATGCATGAATTAAATATCAACCCAAGAACTGCCGCTTTTAGTATGGGAGTAATTGCAAAGTTCTCAGAACCATGATGGGAGTTCCATGAAGGAAGGGATGCCTGTGGGACGAAGGAAAAGATTCTTGGAAGAGGTGATGCTTAAGTTGAAGCTTCAAGGATAAGAACATTCCAGATGGGAGGAAGAGAAGTATCATGGCATTGTCCATGGTGAAACGTACATAGCATAATAGACAAGACCAATCGGATGACCATAAGACGTCGGCAGGAAACAAGGTTTCTAAAAGTAGGTTGGGACTAGGTAGTCAAGAGAATTGAGTTCCTTGTTAAAGAGTGTAGGCACCAGAGGTGGGGTATCCAGTGATGGTGTCTGAGGGAGGGGAGAGGAGACCGTTTAGGAAGATTCATCAGACAGTGACATGGTGTGGATTGCTGACTCCCTTCTCAAAGTGGTCAGGTAACCACCACATTCAGTTTTGTATGATTGCTAACTACTAAGATATTTGGTAATATCTCAGGAGGTTTTGTAGATTGAAAACTCAAGAAAACAAGTATTTAGAAAACTAAGCTCAATTGCACAGGGTATAAGTTGTTTCAAATCTTTCCTAACCCCAATTTAGGAGTTAAGCAATGAACAATCATTAAGTAATGGACAATCCTTCCCTTTCTTGAAGCTTTCTGCCCCTACCCACATGTACCTCATTTTAAAGAATAAATGCAGTTTTTTTTTCTTTCTTTATATAACTTTCCCCCAGGTGACTTGAATTTCTGAAGGAATGCCAAGTGTAGGCAGCTATCATGGTGTAGGTGTGGAAGGAAAGGTGAGAAAGAACAGGTGGAAGTTATGTTCCAGGTTTTAGCAGTGGCCACTGTCTATACTGCAGAAGCACCAGCACTCATGACTGATTCATCTGTGCAAAAGCACAAGATGGAATAATCCATGTTCTAGGACTGCACCATCCATTAAGGTGGTCACTAGCCACATGGGGCTATCTACATTTAAATTAATTAAAATTAAATAAAATTTAAAATTAAGTTCCCCAGACACACTAAGGTTCAGTGGTCGCAAGAAGCTAGTGGCCACCATATGAAACAGTGAATATTTGGGACATTTCTACCATCACAGAAAGTTCTATTGGACAGAGCTGAGTCTGATATATTAGCCAGCATGGGAATCACCTGGAAGCTCCTTAAAAATGCAGAATCGGGGCTGGGCATGGTGACTCACACCTGTAATCCCAGCACTTTGAGATTCCAAGGTGGGAGTATCACTTGAGGCTGGGAGTTCAAGACCAGCCTGGGCAACACAGCAAGACTCTATCTCAAAAAAAAAGCATTGATCTGGAGTCACAAGACTATGTCCTCTTTTGCTTGAAGCATGTCCTCCTATTCTGAATGTCCTGCCTGACAGAAAGAACATGCAGAGAACAGGACAGAGACATGCAGTAAGAGCTACAGGCAGTCACTTGCCCTCAGAAGTACCTGGTAAAGCCCCACTGGGGCATAGAAGAGTTCTTCCTCCTGCTGGCTCTTGACAAAGGAACTGAGGTCCACAGAGGTCATCACACTAGACAAGTTACTGTTGCTGCCTCTTGACACAGGTGTGCCTCTCTGGGATGGCTGTAACACAAGACATAATTCAGTTGCTTTCAATAGCAAGGCCAAGTACTGAAGGGGCTGTGCATTTTGTAGACAACGAAGCAGAGTGGTATGGTCACACAGTTATTAAGTGGGAGAGTCAGGATTTAAAACCTGATCTTTCTGACCCCAAGTGTGAGTTCCTACCTGCTATATGCATCGCTCTTGGTGTCTGTCCCATGGACAATGTAGGTTAAGAGAGATGGCTAAGAGGGAAGACTGCCCAGATTCAAGTTCCAGCTCTGGAATTAATTAGGTAAGCCACTGGGGCAGAGTCATTTTCCTAAATGAACATCTAACCAGATTATCCCTCTGCTTAATACCCCCAGTGCCTCCCCAACACCTAGAGAACAACTTCAATAACAGAAACCCTTTTTTTCAAGGAGGATCTTGCCTGGGACCCTAATGTAGAAACCACGTAGATCGAAGCAGAGTTGCTTTTGTTGGAGAGAAGATAAAGGCTCCAAATCCCCGGGGACACTTAGAAATGAATTACTCTTGAATCCCAATCTCCTGGTCTAAGCATGTTGAAACCTCCCTGACTTGGACCCAGCCAAGCCTCCCAGCCCTGAGCATTCCACGTCTTGGTAAACCCTATGTGACTTCTCCCCTTGTCACCACTAGTGACCTCACTCTTCCCAAGCATCATCTCCTCTCTGAAGCCTTCCTGATGTTTAGTCCCTCCATCGGCAGGGCTTCCATCTCTCCACAGAGACCCATTTGTGAGCACTTGCCTCCTTCTGAGGGCATCTCATGTGTGAGGTATCCCCATGGTCAGCCTGCAGTTAATGGTCAACAAGTATTTGTTGAGCAAATGAACTTTATTGTATTAATCACCAGTAGATTAAAGGAGTTAGTGTGGCTTTGAAAATAACTAAATGTTCCCTGGGAGTCAGCGTTAATGTCTAAATAGCATATACAGTTCTCACAACCACAGAGTAACAGAGCAATGGGAACCTTTAGAGACTATCAATCATTTATAAATATTAAGAAACCGAGTCTTGAGGGTGGAATGATGTTCTCAGATATATTTAGCAAGGACTTTGGAGGCCTAGAACCAGAACTCATGAAGTTCTTACTTCTAAAAGGAAGGCAGCCTTTTGCTCTCATAAGCTCCTCGATGATGTCCCCTCCACAAATTGCCAGCAGTGACCAGGAAAGTGAATGTCTGGGTCATGTGTGCCCTCACCTTGTTCTGGGGAAGAATGGTGATGTTGTCATAATTCATTTGCCACCAGCTGTCTTCGTTTCGCCTCTGCGTCCTCAAGATCAGACCTGCAATGGTAGCTCCCAGAACAGGAATCATTGTAAGAACCATAGTGGCCATGCCTGGAGGGTAGGGACAGATTACTCAGAGCTGCCTAAGAGCAGAAAGGAGAATGTCCCTGCCCTAGCCTGACTCCCCGAGCAGCTGTTTCAAAGGCTGCCCACAGGTAGGCTTAGGTTAGGACACATGTAGTCCATTCAGTCTTACCTCTTCCAAGTACACTTCCCTGACTACCCTTCCAGTTCCCATTGCAACTGCTCTCATCTCTTTCTTTGTGTAGAAACTTCCACTGCAGAAAAATAATAACAATGACTTCTAATAGTACCACTACTTTTTTCTTAAACATTTACTATATGTTCTTCTTAGGGCTGTTTTCCAGGCATGATCCATCTAACTCCAGTGCTGGGCTCCCAAATACTGGGTCACACTCCCCTAGCCAGACTCTTTCTACCTCCCTAGAAATGAAGTTTCTGAAACTCAAATCTCAGGAGCCAGGTTACCTTAAAACAGTGGTTCTCCATGGAGAAGGCTGGGGATGTTGCCCCTAGGGGATACTTGGCAATGTCTGGGGACATTTTTAGTCATCACAGCTAGAGGTTTGCTACTATCATCTGTACGCAGAGGTCACGGATGCCGATAAACATCCTACAATACACAGGACAGCTCCCTACACACAAAGATTATCTGGCTCCTAATGTCAAGAGTGCTGCTGCTACTGAGAGACCCTGCAATAGAGAACCCTCTCTTGATACCTTATCCAAGTAGTCATACTTACCTGTAAAAACAGACTCACTTTTGCAAAGCTCATTGTAAAATCCACAGGCAGGTCTGTCTTCAGGTAGGAAACTATAGGGCCAAGTAGTGTTGGAGAAATTTCTTGTGGTTCTTTAAAAAAAAAAAAAAAAAAGGTCAATGCCTACTTGATTTACTCTACTTGTCTCTACCTCATGTGCAGCAAGAACAACTGAAACATGCATCTTATTTGCAAAAACCAGGCCTTGGTCTCTTGATTCAAACTTCTGCTGACTGGTATAATTTTCCCACCTCCCCTAAACTCTTTTTTTTTTTTTTAGTTGCAGTCTCACTCTGTCGCCCAGACTGGAGTGCAGTGGCCACTCCCGGCCACTGCAGCCTCACCCTGCTGGGCTCCAGCGATCCTTTCGCCTCAGCCTTCCAAGTAGCTGGAACTACGGGTGTGCACTACCACGCCCAGCTAATTTTTTGGATTTATTGTAGAGATGAGGTCTCGCCAAGTTGCCCAGGCAGGTCTCGAACCCGCGGGCTCAGGCAATTCACTCACCTCAGCCTCCCAAAGGCGCGGGATTACAGGCTGAGCCACCGAGCCCGGCCTCCCCTAAACTCTTTAAATTCAGCCTTCAGGAAATCAAATTCAAAGAAGGCAATATCCTTTTGCCAGTAGAATAGCTTCCTCAATCTTTTTATTTAAATCATGTCTGCTTGAATTTAAAAGATGATGTACCAATTTAATGTTGTTGGGATTTTCACCCATGTTTGATATAGACAAACCTTATTATATAGCACCTTGACATTTCACAGACCAAAACATCTCCTCCTACATAGAGTATGTCTGTTCCTACAGTACTAAGGACCCAGTTTGCCATGGTTACTTTGTTTTCTGGACCCATGTTGGTACATTAAAATTCCACAAAGGGAAAATAAAGTCTAAAATCAAATGTTTACTGGGGATAGTGGCGGTGGGGGCAAGTGGAAATTGAGTTAAGTTTGAGGCTTCCTTTCATTTTCTCATTGACTTGTAGCTGAGAGAACAAAAACAGATGTTTTTCCAGGGATTCCTGGGTACTGGGAAACCAGGATGGCACTGGTTTTTGATGTCCCTATAGCTCTCTGGCAGTCAGGCTATCTAGGTGAGCTGTTTCCTGACTGTGAACCTGTCCCTGTAGGGGGCACTGTGCTCCAACACCCACTCTGGCCCAGAGCCTCTCCTGGAGACCACCGGCCAGTAGGGACCTCCCTAGCTGGAACATCAGAGGAGGCCAGGGTCCCTGGGAAGGCGCAGTTAGAGGTGCTATGGTCTACACTGGAATCTGAAATGGCAAAGCCACACCCATAATCAAGGGAAAAAATCACCTTAAAAGCCCAAAGTCGATCTTCATGAGTTCAGAGGGGACAAGACTGCTTGGATTCAAAGGGCTGGACCCTCCCAGAGGCCTCCTCCTCCCATGTCTCTTCCTTTAGCGTGATCTAAACTTGCAGAAATGTCCTGCCAGTACCTGATTACTTTCTGATAGCTGTCATAATGAAGAAAAGGAAGAAAAAGAGACTCATTTCCAAATTTCTTTAGTGCATAGACTGAGTAATCCATGTGCCTTTCCCTGTGGGAATCCACAAACACAGGGCCGGTGACTCCTAAAAGAGAGGAAATTGCACAAGGTAAGGAGGACAGAGAGGAGCGCGTGGCTCAAAATGCCAGCCTGCCGTGACTCAATCAGCAGAACCCTCCACCCCAACAACCCTCAAAAACCAGGTTTTTGACATTCCAGGGAATTTGAGAAAGGGTCAACAGGGCCAGCAGTGAGGGGAAGAAGATAGTTCAGAGGTAGCACCCCAGTAAAATTTGAGAGCTGCATGAGGCAGGAAGATGTATTTTATTCGGCCTATGCTGTGACAGCCCATCCAGGATTCAAACATTTAAAAAGAGAGTTTCCAATTAATTTCAATAAAACCTCGGAGTCATGCTTCAGTCAGAAAATGTGACAACAGGAGGCTGAATGACCACATGGCAGCAGTTGACTGGTGCCAAGGGACAGCTGCCTCCTCCAGGCCCTCCCACCCCCCTCATATGCTGCCAGGCCCCAGGGCACAAATTTGCAAGCTTTGTCCTCAGGGTGGCTATCTCCTTCCGATTTTGGTGTGTGCTGAGGCTTAGCAGGACTCTACTTCCTGGCCCTGTGTGTTCTCTGTTCTTGCTCAGGATGTGCTGAACTCCACTCACAAAGGCACACATCAGAGACCTCGGAGGAGTAAGTGAAGTACATTTCCTCCACACCCCAAACTAGGGAGCATGCTCTGACAAAGGACTTATTGCCAATTTGATCCCACTGGGGCCAGGACACAAAATTAGCATTTATGAAGCACCTACTATGTGCCCAACACTGTGGGTCAGGGTAACTTCACATGTCTAAACACAGTTAAGGCACCATCATCTGCTCCCAAAAAGCAGGGTCTAGAGGTAGAGGCTCCCCGTATCTTCATTCCAGAGCCAGGGAGAGGCAGAGCTGATACACAAACCCAGGCCTATTGGGCCCCAAGTGCCCTGTTCTTCCCAGCATGCCATACTGCCTTTGCGGTGCTCACTATGCTGGTATCCTGAATGCGAATGTTGAGCACATCTCCTTCCCAGGGTTGGCAGGGGGCAGGGGCCGGAGCTCCTCAACAACCAAGGCCACTGTTTCAGTGTGCATTTTGCTCACTGCACCAAAGCCAAGAGGGTGGGGGTAGAGGACTGTTTTCTAACTTGGCCTGCTAGAGAAATCTTAGGCACTGGCTAGAGAAGCGCTTGCAACCATGTGGCAGAAATGAACACCTACTAAGTAGAGACAAATACCTCGATTCTGTCAAGCCCGTGAGGGAACTGATGCTGATTTGGAAGGGATGAGGCTAGGCCTTCAATCATGAGTCCCTGAAAGGAGCCCAGAGGCCCCAGACCCAAAGTGAGATGCCTCAGATTTTTAAAGGGGCTCACCTCCTCCCCTAATTCCAGCATTAGGAATTTCTAAAAGGGCAGGAAAGAGAAAATGAGTTGATCTAGCCGAGGAGATTCGACTGAGAACAGGAAGAAGGACCCTCCCCTCACACACTCCCTGCCTCCTTTATAAACAAATCCTTCAGTATCTGGAAGGAAAGAAGAGAGGGAAGCAGGTTAATATTTTCACTTGAAAAGGTATTAATAGGATAAATGTGACCTGAGTCTATGGAAACCCCAAAGAGCAATCCTTGGCTGCTCTCTTTAAATTTTAAGGTCAGGTGTGGTGGCTCAGTCTGTAATCCCAGCACTTTGGGAGGTTGAGGCAAGAGGATTACCTGAGCCCCGGGGGTTTGAGATCAGCCTGGGCAACTTGGTGAGACCGCATCTCTACAATAAATCACAAAAAAACTAGCCAGGCGTGTGGTGTGCATCTGTAGTTCCAGCTACTTGGAAGTCTGAGGTGAAATGATCGCCTAAGCCCAGCAGGTCGAGGCTGCAGTGGCTGTGAGTGTGCCACTGCACTCCAGCCTGGGTGACAAGAATGAGACTCCAACTCAAAAGAAAAAAATTTTAAGACAAATTTAGGTAATAATTTGTTAAGTGAGTGATAAGCCAAAGCAAAGATAAAAAAATAGCTGCCATTTAATGAGCACATATGATGTGCCAGGGCACTTGTATTTTCATTATTCCTCAGTGCTACACAACAGGAAATAACATGAGCCCTGGAGAAGGCAGGCCTTGTTTTAAGTCCTGGCTCCACCATCCAGTAACTTTGTGACCTTGGACAAGTTACATAACATTTGTACCCACAGTTGACTCAACTGTATAGTCTAATATGGATAGTAATAGTACCTCTCTCAGGGGTTGTGTGAGGATTAAATGAGATAATACATAGAAGCTCTTAGTACACAGTTTGTATAAGGTAAGTTCTCCATAAATGCTGATTATTATTATTATATGTGATAGCAGGAGTTATCTCTATCTTACAAGTGAGAAAACTGGAACAAGAAAGATCAAAGCAGTTGATTGACTCTGAGGGGGATTTCAAAGCAATTCACTCACCCCTGCAAGGAAATTAAAATGAGAGTAGACCCCATCTTTCGAGGACTGTGATGCCTGGGTCCTCATCACAGAGGCCACAGATCGGAAGAGTCATGGGAGTGACCCCAGGAGGCAGATCTATAGTTCTTGAGTTTTATGCTTGATGGATTCAGTCTAAAAGTAGCTGTGGGAGAGTTTCCAGGGGCAAAGGGTAGATAAGGTGCCCAGGGGCCTCCTCATCTGGCCTGGGTACCCTTCTTGGCAGAGGAGGATGAGTAGATAATGCAACTGGGAGGTAGTAACCTCAACCCCCCTCACAGAAGACCATAACTCCAAGAGAAAGATGAATTCTATGGCTCGGTATGAGGCTGGCCCTAAAAGAGGCCTTTAATCCCATGCCCACTATTCCAAAGCCCCCTGGGACTGGAGCAGCAGGCCTGATTCAGGGTCCCCAGCAGTCAACACTCATTCTGCACTGCAGTCTGATTGGAACCCTTCAGAGTGCTGACTGGCTGCTGCCCATCTCGAAAGTCTCTTCCAGCCTTTACCATCTGCTTCATGGTCTGAGCATAGAGCAGGACAGCATCGTGGAGGCAGGCAGAGTAAGGGCTCACCTTCAGTAAAAGAAACAAAGCGGGTTTTCTTTTACTGAAGGACGGTCTCCTGAGTCACCATTCAGCGCTTCGTTGGAAGAAATCTCTCTGCATCCTCTTAGCCGTGGAACACAGCACACATCCTTCCTTCATCACACAGAGCAAAGGGCCTATCACATGCCTGAACCTGTGCTACAAGACCTAGACACCACAGTCTTCACCTTCTCTCTTGATGCCTCATTTCACAATTAGATCACATGATCCTTCAGGAGCGGCTCTTCAGGCTATAGGCAGGAGGGAGTATGTTTACATCAAAAAGGGCTGATCTTAGAGCCAGGCCGGCTCTGCTACCTATTGGCTATGAGAGCCAGAGTAAGCTCTGTAACCTCACTGAATCTCTCCAAATCTCAGTTCACTCACTTATAAAATGGAGATAAAACCACTGTTAGGATGAGTCTGATGACAGTTAAGTGAGGTAGAACAGGTAAACTACCTATTGCAGTACCTGGCCCCTAGTAGCTCTTCAGGACATGATGTCTTCCATTGGTCTAGACAATGATAACACAAGTGCCTACTAAGTGCCAGGCACTGTTCTCCTACAGCACTTGGTGCAGAGCTGACACTTAGCAGATTGCTCCCCAGATATTCTTTGATTGATCATCTTGTCTTATTTGTTGGGATCCACAATTGACTTCCTCATTCCTAATCAATCTCCCTGTCATCGGTGGCCTGTTGTCACCCTAGGGATCAGCTTCGCCCACACGGGAAGTAGCTCCAGCTCTGGCCAAAGGTATCTCTACAAAAAATTCTCTGTGGGAGTCAAACACTTTGCCTCATCGTCCCACACATTCTGAGATTACCACTGGTTGATCATCTCTCTCCTGATCGCCTTCTCCCTGTTCCAGCCCGCCTGCTTGCCTGGACGTGTCCTGACTCCACATCTCTGACCTCTCCACTTGGCTCTCAGTCCTGGCACCCTGCTGGGAAAGGAAGTTGTCACAGTCTGAGTACTGTATCTGTTCTGCACCCTCCATGGACTACATTATTAGATACCTAAAACCACAGCTTGAGAAGTAGATACCATTATCAGTGCCATTTTACAGATGAAGAGAATGAGATGTAGGGAGGTTAAGCAATTCACTCCAAAGTCCCACAGTTAGCAAACAGCAGAAGTAGGATGGGAGCCCAGGTCTCTGCTCCAAAGTGACCTTCCACTCAATAACCCCTGGGGTATAGATTTCACAAAAGGGCATCAAACTGCTATTTATTTTGGATGTGAAAGATGGGGAAGTGTGTGTGTGTGTGTGTGTGTGTGTGTGTGTGTGTGTGTGTGTGTGTGTGTGTGTGTAAGGGGAGTGGTGGGAGAAGGCATAGGGAAATAAGAGGGAGACATGCAAAAGTCAAACACAAATATGATCAAAGAAGGAGAGGGAGCCACTGTGGGAGACCTGCTCCTCTGAGAAGATAGAGCTATGGAAGGGCGGCCTCCTCAGCCTTTGGTAGACTTGTTTCCAGATGCCTGTCTCCAGGGCCTTTTCCGTAGGAGCTCAGGGCAATGAAAAGCACTGACTCATACACCTTTGGGAAGTGCATCACCTTCCGATTTGTCAATGCCTCCTTCCAAATACTGTCCTAAAAAGTAAAGAGACAAATGTCACCATTCTGCAGGAAATAACTTGGGCCAGGGAACTGCACTTAAGGCAATGCTGAATTTGAACAACTATGTTCTAATCCTTGGAAGCACAACAATTCCAGAAAGCCTGCAGTACAAGGTCCATGTTTTCTAGCAGACATATAAGCAGTGAGAGAGAAGCAAGAAACAGGTAAACAAAAAATAAAAACATGCCTAGGGTGCTACACAACCAAGATGCAAACAGCTTATATTCTAACAATGAATGCAAAATCTTGAAAAGCTTGGGACTGTCATTTCTCATGTTTCTGCACCTAGCTTAAGTGTTTTATTATTGCTATAATCTATATTATTACTATCATAAATAGTATATGCCCATTCACTGTATGTGTATATATATGTATATATATGAGAGACAGTAGCATTCTTCCCAAATTCCTTATTACTCCCTCTCATTCCACCCTGAGAGGTAACCAGACAGTATAGGCATGTGCAGAGGTGTGTGTGTGTGTGTGTGTGTGTGTGTGTCTGCATGAGAGTGGGTGTGTTTTACATAAATGGTATCACACAACGCCATTGTTCTACAGCTTGATTTTTTTCCTACCTAAACCTATACTGGAAACATTTTAATACAACAGATTTACCCTCTTCTTTCCTAAAGTAGTATGACTTCAATTGCATGGACATTGATAGATTCTTAGTTCTATCTTCTTCCTTTCACTACATACCAATTGGAATTGGATCATCAAGGTTTTAGGAGAAAGCAGCAGGGGGTTGGAAGGGCTTCCCTGACAATTCTGAGACATAGCCCATCTTCCGTTCTCATCTGCTGAAGGCAGAGGCGAGAGAAAAAGTGAAGAGAAAGGAGGGTGGGTTGCAATGAAAAGGGAATTTAGGGGCATGCTCTGGAAAGTCCGGCATGCGTTTAGAATCCCAGCCTGCCACCCAAAGAAATCTGAGACGCTTTTGGTGATTTGAAGTACTCCATGATAAAGAAAGAGAAATCTGGGACATGATTATATATCCTCCTTTACATCTTTGTGCCCCATTTCTGTTTCTTGTCATCGTATAAGATGAGTTCATTTTAGAAAGAGAAAACTGCTGGGCATGGTGGCTCATGCCTGTAATCCCAATACCTGAGCCCAGGGGTTCAAGACAAGACTGGGCAACTTGGCAAGACCTCATCTCTACAGTAAATCAAAAAATTAGCCAGATGTGGTGGTGTACACCTGTGGTTCCAGCCACTTGGAAGGCTGAAGTGGAAGAATCACCTGAGCCCAGCAGGTCGAGGCTGTGGTGGCTGTGAAAATGCCACTGCATTTTAGCCTGAGTGACAGAATGAGACTCCAACTAAAAAAAGAAAAAGAAAGAAAGAGAAAACTGGTAGAAAAATAATACAGTATATCCTTAGCAAAAGGCAAGTGGCTTTTGTAGATGCCTGCTAATACAATGTGGCAGTTACATGCACAGGCACAATAGGCCTGTGTATACATTACTGCTCTTAATGAGGGGAGAAAAGGGCCCAGCCCACCTGGGTTTGAATACCAGCTCTCCTTCATACTGGTTGGATGGCATTGGGCAAGTTTTTGCACCTCTCTGGAACTTCTGTTAAATACAGATAATATAGCTTCCTCTTCTGTTAAATATAGATAATAAAAGTACCCCGTAGGGTGATTGTGAACTGAAATGAACGTTACTACATCAAGCGCTCACAGTAGGGCCCTGATACCCCATAAGCACTCCATGAGGCAGTTGCCATGTGGGGTAGTCCCAAAGTCTGGAAGGCCCAGTCTGGAAGACCAGCCATACCACTTGGGAGCACTGAGATCTTAGGTAAGGTACCTTACTTATCTAAGCCTTGGTTTTCCTATCTGTAAGTTGAAATGCTAATAATATCTCCCTTCCAAAGCTGTTAGAAATATCAAGTGCAAAAATTACATATATGTAAATATTGCATGTAATTGCTGCCTCATAGGGCTATTGGGAATATCAAGAGCAATCATGCATTTAAAATGTGAAACTAGTATTCATGTAAGCCCATGGCATTTTAGTGATTCCCATCACTACCAAAAGAACCAAACCACCTAAGAATTGCCTTACTGGACCTGCATGTTGGTCTCTCCAGATGTTTCTTAGAGTTTCAACAGGGACACAGGGAGATGGCTGTGGAAGCAAAGGAAGTGAGAGCCACTTGCATTTGTGAGTCCTTTGGGAAGGTCTCAGCCATCCAGTAGAAATGGCAGTTCTCCCTCAGCTGGTGTTTGCTGAAATAGAGTGCAAAGGGCCAGGCTCTGGAGCCTACTGACTTAGCTCAAGGCGCTGGCCTCTCACTGGCTGTGCAGAAGGACTCTGGGTAAATTTTCTCAGCTCAGTCTTAGTCTCTTAGTTTTAAGATGAGGACACATGAGTGTCTACCTCACAGGGTTGTAGTGAGTATTCAGTGAACGAATACATCCTGGTACACAACGAGTGCTCCATACTCGCCACCTCTTCCTACCAGAGCCATTGAGTGGTCAGCAGCACCCACCTCCAACTGCTGCAGAATGATGAAGGCAAATTCTCTGGTGTTCAGTCTCAGGTCCTCTGCTGCCAGTGGAATAATTTTTGCATCCTCTGAGTTGCAGATTAAGATGATAACTGTAAGAAAGAAAAGTAGAGCCAGCCAATTGCATGTTTGTATGTTCACAGAACTCTCTCTCTTTCTCTCCTCTTTCCTCTCTCTCTCTCCCCCCTTTCTCTATCCTCTCTCTCCTCTCTCTCTCTCTCTCTCTCTCTCTCTCTCTCTTTAAAGCCTAACCGAAAGCCACTCTGAAAGAGCATGAGCTTTTTCTTTCTGTGGGTGTGCTTTAGGAAACAGGAATGCCTAAAAGACTCCCTGAGTGTCTATATCTTGAATCAAGCCTGCAGCTTTTGCCTTAAAGAACTAAAGTGTTGGCCGCAGCTCCCCCACAATGTAGAAATCAAAAAAGTTTGAGATCATTTCTGTGCTCTAGTTTCTTTCATCTAATTGACTCAAGATCAGAACAGCAGGCCTGGCTTGTGACTCGTCAGCCATACATCAGTTAGGAGTTCAGAAGACCTGGAATCAAAGGCATTGGACTTTCTGGGTTGGGAGGGGGTGGAGGTAGGGAGGAGTAGACCATGGTACCTTTTTTACATTCATTCTCAACATCATTCATTTTGAGGACACATAAATGAAGTAGTGTCTTTTTAATTAAGTAAATTATAATCTATTTATCTGAGCTCCAGCTATGTGTCAGGCACTGTGCTAGGCATAGGAAACAGGCATGAGCAAGCCAGAAGACTTGCTCATGCAAGATGTATACAAATGAACAGGTTAAAGAGATTCAAGATTCTAATCAGTGAGGGAGGAAAAGGATGCTGTGTTATTAATGGTGGAAGGAGGAGCAACTCAACATCATGCAGTCAGGGAAGGCCTTTCTGAGGAGGTGGGCTCTGGACTGAGTCTGGACGAATATGTGAAAGGCTGGGTAGGGTGGAGTACGACTGACTGCAGCTGACACTCCAGGCTGAAGAATCAGCCTCAATGTCCCAGGGCCAGAAAAGCTTAGCTTATTTGAGGGACAGAAAGGAATCAGTTACTAATGTGTGCTAGGAAGTTTAGCCTTATAAGCATCACCACAAAATAATTGCTGTCATATGTTGACCAATTGCTTGTCCAGACACTGTGCCAAGCACTTTATAGGAATGGCCTTGTTTAATCCTCACCTTTCTATGAGGTACACAGGTTGACTGTCTCCATTTTACAGATAATGTATCTGAGGAACAGAGAGGTACTTTCCCAGGAGACCACAGCTAAAACTTAGATCTGTCTGTCTTCAGAGTCCAAGATCTGAACAAATAGCAAATTCTACCCAGCCCACCTACAAGATTCTTCCAGAACTTATTCTGTGTAGCATAACACTATAGCCTCTTGGATTTCACTTTAGACCAAAAAACCCTCACAATTTTTGATTAGTGATATCAAGCACAAAAGGAAGTAGCTTTTACGTATTATTAATGTTATACCCTGTTTTCCATCTACTTTTTACAGCCATGGAAAAATGAAGAGTTCTCAGTTTTTTTCAGACAGTCTGCTTGTCCTATTTGTCTCTCCAAACACAAGCAACGGAAGACTCTTTCCTACTTACCCCTGGCAATTGATGACATGCTTCTAAGATTCTCTTGAAGGACACCTGGGTTATTGTTGGTGTATCTACTGACAACGATGGTGAAAGGGGATTTGAGTCCATTCTCTACGGCCCTCCATAATTCATCTACTCCATCCCAGGAGGAAACCCCAGAGTAGCCTCCAAACATCCCAATGTGCTTCCAGCCCAGGTGCTGGAGACTTTTTTAGAGCACATCACCAATTTCCTGCTTGGGTGGAACCAGTTTCACCCAGGTATCATATAAGAAGTGATTTTCCAGTTTTGCAATTTGTCCAACAAAGTCAAACATGGGGACGTTCCACTCAGAGGCCAGCAAACCAATAACCTTGAAAATAACAAAAGGATGTCTTTCCATAATTTAGTTTATGTATACTCAAACCCATTTTAAGGTATCTGCATGAACCTCAGATTCAATGACTCTAGGATCATACTTCTCTCTTTTGGAATATTGATGATAATGTCTTGGATCCAACTTAGGTATGCAAGACCTCAGAGGACAAAGATAACAAAAGCAAGTAATTCTTGAATGCTTACCATGTGACAAGCAATCTATTAAGAACTTATAGATATCACTTTAACATTTACAACATTTCTATGAAGTATATATTATTATTATTACCCTTTTTTTTTCATTAATCAGTATTTTTTATTATGGTTTTGTGGGGTACAGTTAAGGGTTAGGTGTACAATGACGTTTCATTCAGGCACCCTGTAGATAAGAAGTGTTTTCCCATCCCCCGACAGATATTTGCTACTGTTAATCCCATCCGCCTCCTCCCCATAGTTTCCCAGTACCATCAGTCATTTTCTTATAGTATTGCATTGGATGTTCAAGGTCCATTATATGAGTGAGAACATGTGATATTCGGATCTTTGTTTTTGTGAGAGGTCACTCAGTATTATAGACTCTAGTTCCATCCAGGTTGCAGCAAAATTCATGATTTTGTTCTTTTTTATGGCTGCGTAGTATTCCATCGTGTATATGTACCACATTTTTTAAATCCAGTCCTCTTTTGATGGGCAGCATGGTTGTTTCCAGGTTCTTGCTATTGTGAACAACGCTGAGATAAACATACGTGTGCAGGTATCTTTTTTATAGAGTGATTTGTGTTCTTCAGGGTATATTCCCAGTAGGGGGATTGCAGGGTCATATTATTACCCTCTTTTTAAAGATAAAACATGAAGACACAGAGACATAAATTACATAGTTAGCAAATAGTAGCGCAGGATTGGAATTCAGGCAATATGGCCCCACAGCCCATACTCATAGTTACTCATTCTGTTTGTCTTTCTTTCTTAATTTGCCCCTTATTTATTTCTCATCCATTTTTCACTGTGAGCCTACTATTTACAAGGAATTTTGAAGATCTTGCTCTTAAAGGAGTTCATGGTTTATTATAGGAACTAAGATTTCTAAAAATAGCTATAGAGTTAAATATGCCCTTCAAGGTTTATAGATAATAGATTTATAGAAGTATAGAGAAGTAAGTAACTACTTCTGATTGGGGAATTCATGATATGGTGGGCATTTGGGGTTGATTTTGAAGAATTCATAGACTTTGGACAGCTAGAAATGTGTCAGATGAGGAATTCCAGGAGAGACTAAAATTCTGTTTTAAATGTGAACTTAACTCTGCAGCTCCAACTATTGATAGTTCTACAATATTACTGAGAGTCAGACCTGTGATCTTCCTTCCTATTCACCATTTGCATCAATACTTCTTACATGACGCAATACCCAAGGACAACAACAAAGCTAATCCCACTAACCAAGCAAATACAAGATATTTGTTTCCTCATTTTTCGCTTTATTCAATGTAGTCTGTCATGCTTTATTCTTTTCCATTTACTCTCACCATCACTGGATAATTAATATACACACCAAAGAAAAATGTACCCACCAACTGATAGTCTTCTATTTAAACCAAGCATTTGTTTTATTCCTAATTTTCTTGAGTCATGGAGCTGACAGTATAAGAATGAATCATAAGTCTATATACAATAGCACCAAGTTCAAATAATCAACAAGAGGAGAAAGAGGATGGGTGAATTAACAATTATTAATTTGAAAGGTTTTCTTTAAAGGTGTCAACTGTTCTAATTACACGGTTTAATTTTATCCCCCCAAAATGGCGCCCCACATCTACACAGTTATTATTATAATAATGTGACCCACGTCAAGAGATTATTCAAATCTGTGCCACCATCTTTAATAGTATCCCTTCCGATGGAAACTCAGCCAAAGTTTTTAGAAGGCTAGGTATACTACCTCTGCTGCTTCTGGGCATGCTGGTCCAAACAGGGCAGAAATATATTCTCTCTGAACCTGGTTGAAGATAGCAAGGGACTCCTTGGCACTGCAGGCTAAGTTGGTGTAAGTGAATGCCCAGCTGAAGTTTCCAAGATCCTTTGGCTCTGAGTTGACCTTGTCCATGGCAATCTGGAGCCTGCACCCAGTCTTTGCACACAGAAGGATGGGAGATGTTCCAGGGGGCCTGGAAGCCTACAGTGAGTTTAGCAGCCTCAAGTCAAGTCACCAGCACCCTAGCAAAGAGCATCAGAACTAGTGTTGTGTGGTCAGCATGGTATTCGACCTGCCAACAGAACCCATATTCAAGTGGGACCTCAAGGCTTGTCCTGGAAGCCATGGACAGCATCTAATCATCTGTATCACTGCAGAGCTCTGAGAGGCTCAGCTTTCTGACCATTCATGCAGGTTCCCTGAGGAGCACAGCTCACTTTCTATTCAGTGCCATTAATTAATTAAAACTCTCTCTCTTCAGAGTCTGTCTTAACATGACCTAAAAACAGAAATTTTGCAGAAAGAGACCAGGGCAGGAAGTAGCAGGGGCCTGTGTTATCACTAACAAACTTCATATTCCTGGGCAATTTACATGACCCCTCTGTCCATCTCTACTGGTAAAATAAGAAACATGGAAACCACTTAAATGTAATCATACGCCCTGGGCTGGAATTCTGATTCCATCTCATATTCATTGTGTGACCTAGGACATATTACTTCCCCTCCCTCATGCCTTCATCTCTGATCTATAAGATGGGGATAAAAATACAATGAGGTCTTCCCCAAAGTGATATATATGGTAAGGATTAAAAGAGATCATACAAGTCTAGACCTTGGCACAATATCTAGGCAAAGAAATCCCTTCCGCCGATGTTAGATTTGATAATGGTAACAATAATAATAATGATAACAATATTGATCATAGTGATAATGATAATTGTTATCCCCTGCTGAATCCAGCTTATAGAAAATCTTTCTAGAATAAGTGAATGAATGACTGAATGACTATGAGAAGGCTTACTAGTAACCTGGCACTATCTGTATCCCTCACCCAGACCTTAGGGTACCATTGATTGGTTACTGAAGGATGAATACTCACCCTTCCTCAAGTCAAGGCAAGGAGCTAGGGGGAAGCTCTTTCTTTATTTTCTGAAGAATCACAGGGATGGCAGGACACTTGGGAGGCCATTGCTGTCCCCTGGTAAGATGGCCCAACCGTTAATCAGGAAAATTCACATCCGTATAAAGGGTTGAATTCTCACCTATCATGGACTTCTTTTCCAATCACTGGTGGTGAAGGGGCTGCCACTCGTTCATCTCAGGGTTGTGTATTTTAGCACAGTAGACTTGCTATGATTCTCAAGTCTTGATCTATGGACCAGTCTCCCTCTGATGGTTAGAAATATAGATTCTATGGCCCTGTTTCACACCCTCTGAAGCAGCATATCTTGAGATTGCTCTGGAAATCTTCATTTAACAGGTCCTCGTATAGTCCTATGTACATAAAGGTTTAAGAACAACTCCAACAGTCTGAGCAAAAAGAGGGAACTTTTTCACTTAACTTCCTTCAGTAGCAAGTCTTCAGAATGGGACTCATGAACCTTAGCTCTGGCCTATCTAAACCCACAGATAATGGGGTTATTTTTCTCCAAACCAAAATCACCATAACTGCTTCTTCACTGACCTGCAGTTTCTCCTTCTCTTCTGGGACAGCTTAGATTCAATTTGCAAAAACATCTGAGTCCAAAGACTCTCTCATATTCCAGTCATGGGCAGAATTCCATGGATCTTTTTGGCCCAGATGCTTACCAGATATATAAGGCCTTGCACGAGTCAGTTAAATCCATACCTAAGTTTTCTGAATTTAAAAATGAGCATAATAATACCCCATCAGAAGACTGTTGTAAAGATACTGTGAGATTGTATAATTACTTAGCACAGTGCTTCACATTTAGTAGAAATCAATATAGGAGTGCTATTAATGAATGCGTCATTGTACAACTCATAACCTATAAACTAGGATGCTGGGAGCAATATTTTATTATGCATTCTGCATTCCCTCTCCCCCTTTCATGTACACTTAATTTTCATTCCCATTTGGGTAATTTTTATTTCTTGTGCTTGCAGATTGCCTTTGTCCTGAGAATCACTGGGCCCAGGAGACTGTGTGTGTCTCTCTTTGAATTTGTAGACCTAGCACAGTGTGGGGCCTTTAAGCAAGCAAATTAATATTAATCACACTAAGTATTAGTATCCTTAAGTTCTTACAAGTGAGCATGGTTGAAACCAGAAGAAAATGCTGATGGTGTTCAGCATCGTTGAGAATTTAAGAACAGACAGATGTTATTGGTAGAATATTAACTGATAGCAGTTCCTCAATATGCATCTAAATGTTAAGACTATGTACATGGTGGATTCAGAAATTCTAATTCAGGAGTCATTTCTTAAAAAAATATAATCATATGATCAGGTTTAACCACAGTGTTATCTCTAACAGTCAAAAATGAGATACAAGCTCTAGTCATGTCTAACAGTAGGGTAGCTAGATAAATAACATGTAGTGAATCCATGTGACTGAGTAGTGTGCAGTCATTAAAAATGATATTTTAGGTGTACATTAATTCACTTAGAAAGATAGCCACATGATTTCTAAAAGAACTAGAAATTGACCTTCCACATGGCCTAGCAATCCTCCTGGGAATATACCCAGAGGAACTCAAATCATTCTACAAAAAAGATACCTGCACACACATGTTTATTGCAGCACAATTCACAATAGCAAAAACATGGAGCCAAATGTGCTGCCCATTAAAAGTGAACTGGATTTTTTAAAAAGTGGTACATACACATGGTGGAATATTATGCAGTCATAAAGAAGGACAAAACTATGGACTTGGCAGCAACTTGGATAGATTTATTCAGTCATACTCAGTGATCTATCACAGAAACAAAGAACTGAGTACCACATGCTCTCTCTCATAAGTGAACCCTGAACACCTATCATAATACTACAAGAGAGGGATTGGCAGTAGCAGGACTCTGCCAGGGGAGGGATCGCCGGAGCCCAGCAGGTCGAGGCTGCAGTGACCGGGAGCAGCCACTGCACTCCAGTCTGGGTGACAGAGTGAAACTCCAACCCCCCCCCCAAAAAAAAGAATGCATGATCTCAATCCAGGAGAAGTGAGATCCAATGGAAGGCCCAAACTTCAACTGTATGTAGACCACTTATGTACCCAATCCTGACTTGTACCCACATCTTTAAAATAAAAAAGAAATTTAAAAAAGAAAGATAGCCACAGAGTATTGTTAAGTGAAGACACACTATAAAGGAACATGTACAGTGTTCCATTTTAGCTGTTTTTCTAAAAGCACACAAAGTTGCCTAGAAAAGATGTTTACCAAGCCCTTAAAAGTGGCTCTCTCCATGTGATATGGATTATGGGTGATTTTTTTCTTGCTTTGCTTATCTTAAATTTTTTTTGGTCTTAATGTCTTTTCAATAAGGGAGAAAAATCAAACATTTTACTTAAAAATAAACCCCACAGACTGTACTTATGAAGGGAAAACACAAGGGATTAAATAGTACTGCCTTAATTCCTCAGGTCAGGAGGGCACCCTACACTGCTCTGGGTCCCAACGCTTCTAGACACCTGGTTTACCTCTGTGGGCTCTAATCATTCTCTGCTGAGCTCAGTCCTTTCCATTTCTCCACTGCCCTTAGAGGCAGAAATGCAGTGACCCAGGTCATGGCCATCATTGACTGGAAATCGCTGCCATAGTTACTGGTCCAGTTTGTATGATGCTCTCTAGAAAGGCCTGTGGTTAAAACCATGTTAGGGTTTGTAGGAACTGGTTGGCAGGGCAAGGTCAGGGCCGGGGGAAGCGGGGGGAGGTTAGGGGAGGCAGGAGGGTGGACATCTTCCTCCGTTTCACTTCCCCAGGCTTCCTCCCTCCTAGGGGATTGTTACATCTAGAATTTTCAGTTGGGTTGGGAGAGGCCAGGTTACTTCATCCAACCAGGTTTTGGAACCAAAGTCATCTGTGCTTGGCCTGCAGAAGTTAAAAGCATGACCCCCTATGTTAGTGGTGCAACTCTTAGATTCCTAGCTATTTTATCCTGTCTCTGTTTCCTGAAGAGACTATTACAAAAGGAGGGTTCTTTTTGCCTGGTGTATGGTTTCCTCAATGCTGGCCAGCCTAGTCCATAAACCAGGTATAGAACAGCTGTTCAGTATCTGAGATCAGATAAGCTTAGCTGTATCCAGGATGGTGGGGTTTTCATAAAACCTTTCACATGTTTCCAGCTGCCCTTTCTCCCCTCGCCCTACTCTTGGCCCCTCCCTGTATTCAGTTTGTAAATCGGTGTCCTGATCAAGTTTAGGGAGAAAGTGAAGATTTGGAATGTGTGGGTTCTAGTTCTCCAAAAAGAAGGTGAGAGGCTGTTTGGCCTGCTTTACTTGGAAGAAGGTGAGAAGGTGTTTTGCCTGCTTTATGTGGAATACAATGAGGTGAGTCTGTAATTGCCTTGGGGAGAGGCAGAGGGAGCACCTCACACACTCTCTGGCCTTTAGTGGTGGTTGTGCATTCCTGGAAATGGATCAACTTCAGGTTCACCAAGTCAATGAGACTGTATCTGAGTCTCATTTTCCTCGTCTGTGAAGTGGGGAAATGGCAGAGGACACAGACCTCTGACCTTACCAAACTTCCTACCCTAAGACTCTAGAACTCCAGGGAATTTCTAAACGGATACAGTACTCCTGATGCTGGATGATGGCAGCAAGTTTCTGCTGGCTACCAATATAATCTGAAATTTAGCTGGTTGGTCTAGTTTAAATGTCATATTTCTGAAAATTTATTTAGAAGTCTTTGAAATTACTTTGAGCACTTACTTTTGAAAATCTGGGTCTTACAGTTTCCTAACGGGAACATTCCTGAAAGTATAACACATCTTGTACTCACCATCCCAGAACTTCAAATTTCCCTACTGTGTTCTCAGCTCTTATTGATAGCTCTGATGCAGACTCTGCAGGGAAGGCTTCTATTAAGCCAAGGTTGAGGAACATAGGATAGTGGAGTAAAGATCAAACTGGGAGATCATGGGTTTTAGATCCGCAGCAAAGCAAAAGCCACTTCTTTGGGTAGCCATGCATGCACTACTCCTAGAAGACTGAGGATGAGGTACCAGACTTGGCTGACTGATGAGGACACTCTGGTCTTGTTTCTGAAAAGGTGTATGCAAGGGGGAAAGAATCCTTCCCCCATGGGGGCACTGCCTGTCTCCTGTGTACTTCAACCATCTGATATTTATCCTGCACGACTGAAATAGACTTTTTTCCATAGCTTTGT